AGCAACATGCTTGTTTTCAAAGTCTGAGGAGTTCATCTTCTTAAATACTTCAAAAATGACTTCAAACAACTTCGAATAACAACAAATGAAGACAGAACAAAAACTGTGTTGTGAGCCAACCTCTATGCAGCCGTACCAGTAACCTGCGTCACACCCGAAAGCTGGGAGAAATAGAGAAAACTCAGCCGCTCCTTGTAGACTTCACAAAACACCAATCCACTTGATTCGATCTTCAAGAAGAAGAATGAGAAGGCCTTCAGTCACCGAGCGCCCAAGTCAAACTCCCCGTGGGGCCCATAATCAGATTTCTCCAAAAAATTAGGGTTTCGGGCAGTACACTTGAATCTGTCAAGAGGACGACAAAACCAGTCCCCTTCTCTCCAGAAACCACTAAAAACCGAGCTTAATAGGTTTCTTTAACTATCCATACGATTCAGTTCTCCATACACACCGTGTATGGAAAAAAAAAGGTGAAATAAAAGGAAAAACGAGCCTGCTCTGATACCAAGAAGAAAAACAACCTTTTGAGAAGAAAGGACTGTTTAGAAAGTTGCAAAAATTCAAAAGAAAGTAGCAAAAATCAGAGTTCAAGAGGAGAGAAGAAGAAGAAGAAGGTAGCGGCAACTTGGGTTCAGAGAGAGATTTCCGAACATAATCTCTTCTCTTACTCCCTTAATTCTATTTCATTAAGTTAAACTTTAGTAATTTACAGAGAAGCCCCTAGTTGGGCAGAAAATTAAAAAGACATAACATAAGAAAGAATAAAGCCCAGATTAAGGCCCATTATAGCAAAGAACATAAAAGATAAAAAAGGATAAAGCCCAGATTAAGCCCCCCACTCACTCCATTTTGACTTCTTGAAACCCCTGAAGTAGCAGAATTCTCAAAAGACATGGTAAAAACAGAATTTTAGTCTAAACTCTCAACTTAGGATCCTTATATCAGAAAAAATTGCTCCACACACAAGTGACCAGTCCACACACACTTCAGTTTTGGACTTAATCTAGGCACAAGAACAGCACCAGTTTCCAGAAAAAAAAAAGGTATGGTCAAACTTATTTTCAAACCTGTATAGGTTAACAGTCCCAGACTACTAATTTTCCAGAAGGTCTACAAGCATTGATCCTTAAGAGAGATCCTTACACATGAAATCAAGCCAAAAAATAGAGAAAACAAGTCATCAATGACCTACAGTCACCTTTTCACAGGTACAGGATCACACGATCCAAAACAGAAGAGGTATAAACCTCACAAGGGTCTGACGGCATTCAGTAGTTCAGATTCATTTGTTTTTTTCTATTGGTACACAACCAAGGAAAGAAGAGAAAGAAAAAAATAGGGCTGTACCAGTCGCAAATCAGATTCGACCAACCCAGATTCAGTTCTCTGTTCCGTCCAAATTCAGCAAGTTGAAGAAGAAAGAAACTTGATCGATCTGCTCTCACAGTCAATAACCTTGCTCTGATACCATCTTGACAATAAAGCCAATTGAAAATAAGAGAGAAGAGAAGAGAAGAAGAAGAGAAGAAGAAGAAGAAGAAAGAAGAGAAGAAGAGAGATTGGCAACAATGGAATAGTGTTGGCGGCGCCAGCATTTATTGATATTTATAGGGCGTCTAAATTAAAAGGGGAAAAGACCCTTATGCCCCTGATGTAAGTGAAGTACAATAACAGAGAATAAAAAAAGAATTTAAACCAAACAAACAGACCCTAACAAGATAGAAAATAATAACTAAAACATAAAATAAACTAATTTTAACAAATACATCTGGCCCAATCAGCATCAGCGTATGCCTCTAGCTTCATGTGTCCATGCTTGGCAAACAGAATACCTTTCCCTGGAGTGCCTTTCAAGTAACACAAAACTCTCTCCAGCTGCTAAATGTGTATCTCTAGGAGAATGCATAAACTGACTAATAACACTTACTGCATAGGAAATATATGGCCGAGTTATGCAGAGATATAACAACTTCCCGAGAAGTCTCTAGAACACTCCCCTATCAATCAATAGTTCACCATTAGTAGTAGAAAGCTTATGGTTTAGGTCTATATGGGTGGAAGTTGGTTTGGCACTAAATTCACCAGTACCTGCAAGGAGATCAAGAACATACTTGCGTTGAGAAATGAAGATACCATCCTTAGATCTAGCAACTTCAATTCCCAAGAAGTATCTAAGATCCCCCAAATCTTTTATCTCAAATTCAATGTTAAGAAATCTTTCGAGCTTAATCACTTCCTGGGTGTCATTACTCGTAACCACAATGTCATCAATATAAACAATCAGAAAAGTAGTAGCTAGAGACAACAAAATTCGAACTGAAGTCATTTTAGCCACAAGAGCAAAAGTCTCAAAGTAATCAATACCATGCATCTGAGTGTAACCCTTAGCAACCAATCGAGCCTTAAACCTCTCAATAGTGTCATCAGAATGATATTTGATGGTGAATACCCATTTACAATCCACTAGTTCCTTCCCTTCAAGCAAATCCACAATATCCCAGGTATGGTTCTTATGCAAAGCATCTAGCTCAGTC